TTTGGACACACCACCTTGGTTTCCCCAATGCAAGGGCTTCTGGCCATAAACGAAACATGTTGTTCCCAACCTTCATGGAAGCTTAGTGGTTCAATACACGGATGATCTGGCTTCTGACTTTGAAATTCCCTACAAACTGTGATCATTTTGCTTGCCCAACGGACCTGGAAATTACATCTCAACGGCTGAGGGACATGGCTAAAAGTGGACCAACATGATGAACATGGGAAACCCCCAAAATGGAGCCATAGGTTTTGACCCACAGCCATGTGTGTTTCCCCACCCGCAAAAGGCGCCCGTCCAGGGTCGTTCGTCCCAAGGGGTCCCCTGCTTTTTTAGCCAGGCGGCCCACACCATGGCTGAGGCGGGAGCTCGGGACAGTCAGGTGCTTCGTGCCCCGGCGTGCGTGGCATTTTTTGTTTGGCAAAGCTCTCCAAATCCAGCGCTGAGATGGTTGAACATCAACTTTTGGGTGTTCATTCACCCCCTTCAGGCGATGCTCAACCAACTTAGCCTGGTTATAACTGGGATTAGTCCCCTTATAACTTATAACCATTGGTTATAAGTTATGCCCTACTTACTAGGCCGCTTGAGCACCCTTCAGGGACAGCTTCCGGCCAAGAACCAGCATTAGCTACGTTCCCTTCTCCGGGCCACGGCATCAAGATCTCGTGTTTCTTGTGTCGCGATGGACAGGGTTCGCTATATTTCCCTTGTTGGTGGTGTTAAACATCACCTTTTGGCCCATGAAAGGTGGGTATCCCTTGCTGGGGGTGATGTTTTAAGGGGAAATATAGAGAGCCCTGATGGCAGCCGATAGAAGGTGAATCTTGCTTTGGAACGTTCCGAGCTTTGCCCCCCCGCTTCGTGAGATCTTGGCCCCACAACAATGTACTTGTAGGCTGCGAAAAGAGGGATGAGGTCAAGAATGTCAGGTACTTTGATTAGAACATATCTCTGATTGCGGGCTCAGTGGCGCTAGTTCAACTTAGTGGAGACACTTAGCATGCGGCGGGGTGGGGGGTGGGGTTTGACTGCGTACTACTTCAGGGCTCCAGAGTTGCGGGTCTATTCTGTGCCCTTACACCATGCGTCCTCATTCCTTTCTGGAAGGATTGGTGCAGTAGCGCCAGAACACAGAGCCCTTTCCGTGTGTGTCCCGTTTTGATTAATTTTGAGGCTCGTACCCTCTTTGGCAGTGATTTCGAGGAAGCCAAGAAAACACGCCACTTTTCCTTCTTTGACACATACTCATCTAGGTCCCCAGTAGTGCCCTTTTACCCTTTTTTTGGGGAGGTTTCCCCTACGAAAGTAGACTACAAGAAAACAAAAGTACCCTTTTTCTAGCCTCTCTTCTCAAGGACCTTGTCATGTTTGCTTGAGTTTGCCAGGGTTTCACGGGGGACTTTCACTTGACTGCTATTTGGTTGGATCTTTGCACTTTAACTTTTTGGGAAATCAAGGGGCTTTCCCACTAAACCTCAAAAAGTTAAAAGCTTGTTGCAGGGGGGTCAACAGAAACCAAGAACAGGACACCCACAACTTTGAATCCGAAGGATGGCGCCAGCTTCCCCCGCGCCGACACGGATGCCTGGGTCTCGTTTGGAACGTCGTTTCTGCTTCCCCCTTTTGGCCCCGAGGCGGATTCGAAGGGCTCCAGAGAAACTTGGAGAAAGACCCACCAATGTGTCCTCCCTCCAACTGTAGACTTCCAAAAAGCTGAAGTTCAACAATTTAATCAACAGGGTTTTCCCCTGTCGACGCGTGCATTCCCGTCAGGACCTGGACCATTCTATCTCATTGCCTCTGGCCCCCCTGTGAAATGACCGTGTGGTTTGTGAATGCTGTGTTCTTGGGTTCTGAGATTTGTCAAAAAAGGCGAGCCAATCTATGTTTATGGGCTCTGACAGATTTATGGGATCATGAGTTCGGTAACTTTTTCAGAGTCCTTTCGAAAATCAGCCAGCCAACTCGGTCGCGCACTTGCTGAGGCTCCCTCCTGAAGCCTGCAAAACAAATAAAATCGCCGAGCCAGAACCAAACAAAGACGTTGCCCCTGGATGGTCGAGGAAGTTTGGGGCCAAGGTAGGTGAGGGGTTCCTAAGCCAGGGTTCAGCTGAATCGTTTTTTGTCCGCCCTAAGGATACATGAATGTGGACAAGTAGTTGCTTTTTTCTGCAGGAGGGGCCTGTTCTGTGTGCTGGTGTTTGCGACCCCGGGCCCCGCTTTGCGATCACAAGACAAGTTATATGTTTCACAACCAATGAAGCAGTACGAAGTGATGCCACCAGTTTGACCTGTGTTGTTCGTTGCGTTTCGGGGGCATCGACATATGTATGTTTGTGCAACAAAATATATATAATACCGACTTGCTATGAGACTGTCGATGCTTGCAAAGACCGGGCATGCACAATGTACTTGCTAAGCACTCAAAGTGCTTTATCGGAAACTTGCGTGAGCAGCGACCGGGAGACGTTGTGTTTCTTTAGCGGCCCAATTCTCTTGACGATCGACAGAGGTAGAGGCTTCCTCTTTGAACCCCTGAAAGAAGGGGTTCCGGAGGCTAGATAGACAAGAAATCCACGATTTTGCGATATGATCCAACCGTTTCTGTGAGCCTTGCTTTCATAGACGTGGACTGCACGACTATATAGAGCTGCCAGGGTCAAGGTTTTCACGGGTTAGCGCATGTCCCAGGGTGGTTTTCGAAGTTCTTTGTTTCAACATACCGTTGACAACTTCATCTCCTAGGTGTTGGCCTTGTTCTGAAATGAAGGTTCCCCTTGCAATGGGAGGAGGGTTGTTTGTGGACCTTTCGGCCTTCTTTTTTGGGATCTGACGAGCGCCTTTCAGATTTGTGCCGTGGTTAAAAAAACCTGTTCCTTGTCTTGCGTTTAACGGGGATTGTCATCCACATGGTAGCAAGGATGTTGAAGAACACTGATGTGAATGATCATGATTCCTATCAAGGGAACCATGAACATAGGGCAAACAAGCCGGGTTTTGACCATGTCACATACGGGTGTTTCTCAACCCCTCAGGCAGTTGGTGTCCTTTTACTCTGGGAACCATCCAACATCGCCCTTTCGAGCCCTATGAGAAGCATGAACTGTGGAGGTCCAACTTTGGGTGTTTGGGTGTTTATTTTTTTGTTTTTTGAAGCCACCCAGACAGGGGGCTGTGTGAAGGGAAGGTCAAAAGAAATCCATTCATGTTGGATGTTCTCCATGTCCTACTTTGAGACAACCCTGAGACTTGCAATTTGCAGGGTGCGGCACTCATTTGGCTTCCTGCACCTTCCTTTTCGGTTTTTAGGACCATTTTTGGGCCAGTTTGAAACGAGTCTCCTTGTTTGTGGTTTGCTTACAGGGGAATGGGGGTTTCTCATTTTTTTGGCACATCTTGTTTGGATTTTAACGTAAGAAGGATAAGCATTCCATCGTGCGGGTCCAACAATTCTTAAAGACAAACCCACACTATGAGTTTCAATGGGGCACCTCCAAAGAGGTTGGACATGAATCCCCACCTTACTGATTTCCGGCAGATGGTCCCCTGTCAGCGTTCTCAGACATTTGGGGACCCCAGCCTGCATCGCTGAGATTATCAAGTCAGATGCCATGATGGCCGCACTTCCAGTGCTGGAAGCTGAGTTTGAGCGCTCCAAACAATTTGAGCCAGCGGAAGGATCAAATCCGAACCTTATGAAGTACCTTGGATTGGCGAAATCCGAGGCCGCACCCCTTTGGAACCATGGGAAACCAGAACGTTTGTTGGTGTTTGCAGGGGAGATATTCTTTCCAGGGTGTCTTGGGTGGTGCAGGATTGTCTATCCACAGTATGGCTATGACTCTCCGTGGGCAAACTCCCAAATTGCTGAGGTTTTCCCTTGGTTTCCCTTTCTGCACCGCAGAAAAAGGGGCACCGTGTCTCCCAAAAAGACACACAGTAAGTTGGAATGGTCCAAGAGCTTCGGGCAACACCCAGACGTTTTTGGCGGAATCGTTAACTCGTTTGAGTCTAGGGGAGGTTTGCCCATTCTTTCCAGAAACATCAAAACCCCAGGTTTTCAAGCAGCGATCGGTTTTTGAAAAGAATGGTTGAACAGAATGGGGGATCAACCCCTAGATGAGATTGATGGACGTGAAGCCCCATGTGTATGATGTCCACCAAAGGGTCCTCTGCGTGTTCATAATATGTCTCGTCACGGCGCAGCGCCCCACATCCTATTGCGCGACTTGGATAGATATGATTCGATTGTCAACTGCCACTCTCGTGAGACAACGGAGCTATAGATGCCCACCACTCAAGGATGACTTTCTTCGCACCCGTGCTTCATGTCATGCTTCTGGTGGAATGCTTGAGCATGCTTGAGCATTCCAAGCAGCGCTTACAACCACAACAGGAGCTGAAGCAATGTTGATCTTTGCTCATTGGAGATGCACATGAGCCCTCAACATTCCAACTTCAAAAATGGGTTCAAGGACTCACCAATCTCATCAAAGACACTTGTTCAGCTCGTTGCTTCGAAACAGCTTGCGCTATATTATTGTCCTTGTTTCTGCTTGCCCTTGAGGGTTGATGTTGGCGAGCATGAGTAGGACGTAGGCAACTCAGTTGATCACAGTGAAGAACTGTGGTTCATGGCAGATGTGTTTTGATCTTTGTTGTGTGGGTCCAATTCAGCATAAATTGAGCGAACAAGGTGTACTTTTTGCTCTTTGGTCACTGGCGGCTTGGGCATACTTGAACGAGACCAGTTGAGGCGATCCGTCAGCAAGTCATTTCACAGTCAGAGTTCCAACTGCGTGCTGAATGGTAAGGAAACCAGTGGATGAGAAATGCTGCTACTTGATGCGAAACGTGACGGCCGTTGTTACTCGCACAGTTTCCAGGTTGTAACGTAGATGGTCCCGGGTCGCGGTTTTATCATTGCAAAATCGTGTTCAACAGTGGTGTTGGCTGCAGAGCCAACGTACAGGCCCGGCTGAAAGCTTGCCGTCATGAAGCGCGCGCAAGAACAGGCATACCAACATGCTAATTGGTCACTTGTCGCCATGAATTGTGTGCAACAGAAACTAACGATTGACACGGGGCATATCGGCCAGATGTGACTTTTCGTGATGGTTTGTTTGAAATCAAGCTGTAGTGGTGACCAAATCGTTTTTGTTGTTGTTTTTGGAACATGGAATCGCCCCCATTTTGAAGAACCCGGACGGCTACATTGGATTCGTCCAAAGCTGGGGATCAATCCAAAAAACAGGACATTGGAAACCACAGGCAGGAAGGAAGGGTGTGGGAAACCGAGTCCTTTTTTTTGGTGGGGGGGCATCCCCTAGAAAAAGGAAACCATCCAAGAGGGAAAAGCATGCATTGTCCCTTGCTTTATAGGGGCCGTCAATCATGCCCTGTGAAACCATCCAATTGGAGGGATCCATTTAGATATTTGTTTCTTGAGGGTACCCGAATTGTTGGCGGTTTTAAAGGGAAACCAAAAGGAAAACCATCGCGCCATTTCTGGGGTGCAAATCCGAAAAGAGGAGCTTCCCATTTCTCCAAAAATGTTCGGAGTCCAGTTTTCCTGTTTGGGTATGTGTCTTCTTTTTGGTTCGGTTTCCTTTGGTTTCCTTTAAACCAACCCCCCAAAAGCGGGTTCCGAGCCTCAAACAGAAGCGACCGCCAAGGCCGCGGTGCTCTTCGGAGGTGGTGAAGCCATCTGAGCTCTTTCTGGATCTTATGATGCGGGCGCCCTCAGCACGTCCCACGGGGAAAGAAAAGCATCGGCCGGCTTTTGTGCAGTTTGCAAGTAAAACATGAGTCCGGCCTGTTTGGAGTTGGCATGAGTTAAATGTGCTGTTGGTTTCCTGTAAGACACCAACCAACCACGTGGTTTGTTCGGGCGCCCCAACTTGTTGTGTTTTTGTTTTGCCGGGCTTTATGCCTTTGCCATCCTTTGACAACATTCGCTCTCAGAGGCTGCTGTCCTGGTTGAAGACGAGACCTCCGTTTGGCTGATTTCCGTTTGGTTCGTTCCTTCACCCTCTCAGCGGTCTCACCCGAACCCAAGAACAGCGCCAAGTTCCTGTCGCTCCGGTGTAGCCAAAAAGATCAAATGGATGTGGGTCAACCATAGGTACCCAAAATGGAAGCCTGGTAAATGGAAACAAGGACAAAAACCTGCGATCCCCCGCTGGTTTAATTTTGACCCATACCCAAATAGCACATGTCCGTCTTCAATGCATTGAATCCAAAATCAGGTTTCGCCTCTGTCAAAAGTTTGACACACGTCGATAGTGTGGCAACGTGTCGTGCTACTTGGTGGGACCTTTCAAATTGATAAGTGTCTCATGTATGTGTTCCTTTCTTGACAGGTTAGTTTCTTGAGATCCCTTGAGTTGGTTTCTTGTCTCATGCTTGTTTTCCTGTAAGGCTCAGATTTTTGGTTTTTGACCTCCCTTGAAATGGGACCAGCTGCCGGCCTCGGCAAGGTCTGACCCTCTGAAGAAGGACGGGAAGAGGCGACTCGGGGGGGAAATTCGACGGAAGATGTCGCAAACTGGATGAAGTGTAGCTGCAGGTCATTACTTTGACCATTTCTGGGGGGTCTCATCGTCAGAAACTGGTGAGTGGTTTTGCTTTATCCTACTTGGGGGACTATTAGCAGAATGGGGCCAGAGGTTTGTTTTGAAAATGGGTCCCCCCCTCACTGCCGGGACCCAAACCGATGGTTTCCTAACTGGGTGTTTCAGCAAAACCCAATGGTTCCGCACCGAGCCATCCTATTCATGAATGCCTTCCCACCGGAAAGGTGTGGTGAACTGAGGCGACTTTTGTGGTGTCATTGCCAGGAATCCCAAAACGGACATGGTCCCTTTAGGAACCTTTCCCAGAATTAGCTCCCCTTTCTTTTCTTTTTTTTGGCTATTTTTGGGTCCCTTTGCTTTCCACTCACCAGGCGAAAAAGATATATATATATATATATATATTTTTGCTGGGGTCCTAATTCCAGCCTAGGAACATCGTTTTCTAGGACCCCGACACGTCATGTTCCATGTGGACAGGAGGATTGTTTGAGCTGAACTCGTGCGCAGGTGAATGGATCCATTGGGCTGAACTTTGAGAAGCTACGTTTCGGTGGTTAAGGCATTGGGTCCTTCAAATGGATAGACAGCCAGCATTGGGTTTCCTGTTAAGTACGAGATCCCACATAAAGAGTTTTGACCAAGACATGGGTGTTCCTGCCTAAGGTTGTACTTTGTGTGCTCCGTCCGAAGGGGTGTCGCTTGCACCCGTGTTTCTCAGCACATGGGCCGTGCCAATCTAAGACACCGACTGAGGAACAGTGTGCAGCAAACGGAGATGGATTCGGCGGGTTTCCCATTGTTCCAGCCAGCAGGTGCTACTTTAGCATGTGGCCTGTAGGTCAAAAATAGGTACCCAAACAGGAACCCTGGTAAGTATAGCAACATGGACCAAAACTTGCGGTCCATATCCTGGTGGTTTAGTCTTGACCCACACCATTGTGTCAACCAACAGAAAAACTCAGATGCCCACACAGGCGACCTTTTTTTCCTTTAGTTTTCCAGGCCAATTTTTGACGTCCCGTCCCGAAGCAACCGGCGCCATTTGCTGCATGGGCAACCATTCGTTGATTCGGACTTTCCGGGAAACCAGCCCATGTCACCCCCCTCAAAAAAAAGAAGAGCTGATCAGTGGGAAACCACCCCATGGCCCCCCCCCAAAAAAGAAGAAAGCACGAAAAGCTAATTAAGTGGGAAACCACCCCATTTCACCCCCACAAAAAGTAACCGGGCGCCAAGCCACATAGTAAAATAATTCGTTGCTTTGAATGAATGGGAAACCACCCGTTTTTAACAGCAACACAAAAGGCTGACCTGTTCGGCGTCCAAACCAGGCCTGTGGCATCTCCTTCCAGAGCGCAGCCGCAGGCGCGCGCTCGACTCTTCCGTTTGCTGTTTGGGGCGGGGGCATGGGTCCCTTGACCCGAAGGAACTGGTTACCCATACAGGGACGTCGCCCACCATACTTTTGGGGCCAGAGACCGCTTTTTAAAGGAAGTTTTGAGGGTTCAGGTCCCTTTTTTTTGGGGGGGGGAAGCCCATGTTGCTTGTATTTTGTTTGCACCGGGAGACCGTGTTCTTGTTTGGCAGCACTGGGAAACCAAACGGAGGCAGCTCATTAATTTATTTGTGTTGTTGTTGTTTTTGTTGGGGGGCTATTTTGTTTTGAGACAAACCCTTTGCTCGACAGGAAGTCAGTTCGCTTTGGTCTAGTTTGGTTCAGCTTGTCGGACTTTCACACAACACTGGGATTCAATCACCGGAAGCAGCAAATCAAATCAGCACTGCCAGCATCTTGCGATTGGATGCACAGTTTCGCGCCTACTATGGCAGTTTTTTTCCCCCCCCTATGAAAGCCAATGTTAGGCCGTTGCCCTTATGAGCTGGGTGTGTGTGTGTGTGTGTGTTTTGTGAGTTATTCGGGCATTTGCCTATTAGAGCCTTATGAAGCAGCAAATCAAATGGTTGAACATAGCGGGAGCAACTGCACGATCAGTGTTTTCAGACAAAGGCCAAATGACCTATACAAAACGGTCATTTGGAGGCTCATTGGTGTAAGAAATTGATTTGTGTCAAGTGCGTTCAAAGGGCGTCGATTCTCCATTCCCACTTGTGCCAGTTTTATGCCCAAGGAGAGTTGGGTAACTGGTCATAGACTCGAGAGGTTACTTTGGGCCCCTAGACATGACCCACACTGAAGGTCGATAATAATAATTCCAACATTCAAAGTCGGGGTACCATGTCAAAGATGATGCCGACAACAAGTGGCCACATCAGGATTGATCAGGATGGGTTCACATACACAAGCACACATGGAGCCACGATCATCGATCAAATCAGTTCGATTTGCATGGATACATAGCGTAGTGCTTGGAATGATGACATTTGTGACGGTGACGTCTAGGTTTAGAACAAAAACATGTTTTCGGGCTTTCGGGTCTATCATTTGAGCCATGTCCATTCCATTCCGCTTTGAGATGGAAAGCGGAAATGTGCAGGAAGCACCCAAGTCGCCTGCCATGTCAAGCATCCGAATGCTGGGCACTTGTTGGGGTTGTAAGGGGTCCATCTGCGGGTTGATCCAAAGGTTCGTGATACATGGGGTGACCTATGGGGAAACACCAAAAAAGCTACGACCTTCACCACATGAGAGAGTTACCCATGTCATCTTGTGCAGAAATATTGCTCAACCCCCTATGAGCGGAGACTTGGGTTCAGGAAGGACTGAGGTTTGTTCTTGCCGCCTTGATCCTGTTGTTGTGGACCATCGATGTGGATGGTCGTCATAGCTGGTCACCCGCGTTCCTGGACTTCTTGTCGCGTTTTGGGAAGACCCTCGCGGCAAAGATAGTGGATCCCAGTTGCCCTAAAAGTGGGTAATCAATCATTCTTGGGTTTTCTACGGGTCCCCTTGGTTGCCTAGCCTATAATTACAGGTAAACGGATCCACTGGCTACTGGGTTGGTTACTTTTTGTCGGCCAGTTTCGATCGGAAGTGACCAAACCTTGGGGCTGCTTGCCAGGGTTCCTCACAAGCATTATGACGGAAAACGCGAGGAAGCGATTCAAAGTGACTTGGAGGAAGATAGTGTATTCAATGTTTGCGTCATTCGAATATGTATAAAGTACTATATAATGCTTTTGCAACTCTGCTCGCAACTTGCTAAAGCGAACTCCTTTCAGGAAAGTTGCTGAACGGGCCCTGGAAGTTCCGACTGTTGCGGAGGAGCCTTTGAAATCCAACTCCCCTTGTTCGCCCTTCATAACCGTTTGGGCTCAAAGGGGGATCAATCGTCAGGATTCTTGTCTAGGTCCCCCAGTAGTGCCCGTCTCTCCCCATTCTTTGGGGAGGGTTCCCCTACTAAAGTAGACTACAGAAATCAGAAAAGGTACCCTTATTCTAGCCTCTCTACTGGAGGACCTAGTTGTGTTTCTCCGATTTTGGGCATTCACCGCCAGATGCACAACTCCTCTGCACGACAGCTGCCGCCGCCGCCACCGCAGCCGCAATCATCGCAGCCGCACTCAGCGAAGCTGCCGCCGCCGCCGCCGCAGCCGCAGCCGCAATCATCGCAGCAGTTGCAACCAATGCAGCCGCAGCTGCAGCCAGCGCAGCCGCAGTTGCAACCACCCCAGCCACAGCCGCACTCGCAGCCAATGCAGCAGGCCAGACTCGACTTGGGGCTGTTTTTGATTGTTGGTCCCCCCTTTTGGTGGATTCTCACAGGGAAACCAAGGGGACAAGTTGCAAAAAGCAACTTTTGGAGGTGGAGTAGTCTTGAGACAAACTCAGATTTGCTTTTGCAGCACCCTTTCCTTTCAGTTTTCCATGAAGCATCCTTTTAGCGAGTAATGTGCAGCCGTTCAAGTCACACGAAAGCCGCGAGAAAGGAGAGAGACAAACAATCGAGAAATTGGATGACAGGGAACGGCATGATGTGAGTTTTTTTTTTTTGGTTTTAAGGCGAGGGGGCCCTTGGGCTGGTTTTAAAGGGAGCCCACCCCTTTCGGGGAGCAACTATTTTGGCACATCTTAATCTGAGCTGGCAGGGTCCAGCCGCACGTTTTGGGACAGCACTACTCTGGGAAGAACTCCAGAAGACTCAGCCGCACTACTGTGGATGGAGGAAATCCCTTCGCACCACTTGGAACCCATGGGAAACCATTGCTCATTGGTATTTACAGCGGAATCATCTTCCAGGTTTTCTTAGGTGGTGCAGGATTTCGTCCATCCACAGTACGTTTGTTGACCGGGTTGCTGTTTATCTACTTGGGGACACCCCTTGGACAGTCGAATTTTAGCAGTCCCCCACCCATTTTTGCAGAGGACCCAATTTGGGATGCCAAACATTTGCTCGCAGCATGGAAAGTGGTTGCGTGGAGGGTACCTTTCCAGGCGTATAATATGTGGGTATGTGTCAAAATAGGTGTATCCTCATTGTGGTTTAAAGTTTACCTTTTGGTTCACGTGAAACCCCCCGGATTAATAAGCCCGTCCTATCAATAGGGAGGCGTTCCCCGCCAACAGTGCTGAATCGTCACTGCAAGGGGACACCCCCCATTCAAAATCAACCAGGGCACTATCAATCGGGGAACCTGTTTTTCCAACCAGAAACCGGTTTTTCGACCTCCATTTTACCTTTTGGTTAATGGGTCCAGAAAACAGGTTGGCGGTCAAAAACAGGGTCCCCTTATTAATCAACAAAGACGAGTCACCCATATGTTGCGTGTGTTTCTCAGGTGAACCGGCGGCACAGCGGCATGGACCAGCGGCGAGTGTCGATTTTGCCTCAGAGGGGGGTACCAACCTGCGCTCAGGGCCTGAAGTCATTGGCAGTAATGATCAAGAAGAACGGCCGGCAGTCAACTTATGACACGATATTGATCACATGGATGATCAGTACTGGTAATATTCCGGCCTGGATGACATGGATGATCAAGTTGATTGACAGTAGTTCTTCCTGGATGATGATCATGATAAGAAGATTGAACGGCCGGTCAATATCGACCGGATTTACGGATGCGGTTTCGGATCGCCTAATTTGGGACCATCAGCATAAACAAGTTTGTCCTTTGGCACAGAGAGTATGGACGAAGCTACCAAGGAAGGCAGATAACCTTCCCCAGTGTTTTGCTTGATCTCAGATGGCATACTCGGAAGCAATGGAAGCAGGAGGCGGTTTGCGTTTGGGTCCACATGGTGTCCAAATCAGAACCGTCCTTTTTGTTACAAAAAACATGCCTTGCCCATCACTCACTCATGCGTTTCTGAATTACCAACTCATGCGTTTCTGAATGGCCAGTCTTGTTTGAGCTGATTAAACGAGGCTCGGGTAAACATCCACACGCGGCTCACGCGGCCAAGGAGTGGCTATGGCGATGCAAGGACAACAGAGCCTGGGGACGTGAGCAAGAAAGCAAACCCAGTGATTCTGTTTACGTCCAATTTCTACTACGTGTCGGTGACCAAGTTGGGAATGTAGAACCTAGAAGAAAACGACTGACTTTCTATAGTGGCAAATCAAATCATCGGCAAAAGATGAATCATAAAGTCAACAATCAAAAGACGGGTCCTTTCCCCACTTTGGTTGCAACTGGCCTTGGGCAGCTTGTCGCTCCTCATAGGCTTGCAAAAACACAAACAACTGGAACCTCAACGCATTTTGTGAGGAGCGGGCAGGAAACGGTACTCATCGAATTTGTGCCCGGTTTTACCACCTGCTTGCGTACGTAGCTTTCCTCGCACCTTACGGAACTGGAATGATGCCCCGAAAGCAAGTTCGGCAAGTTTAACGGGGATCGAGTGATCAAGCTCAAACGTGTGGTGTGTAGATGGGGTGACATGGCTTGGCATGGCATGAGTGCTTGCTCGCATGCTTGCTGAGCATGCAGATTGCTTGAATGTTCCTTTGATTCTGTTTTCTTGCCATACTACAATCTTGCTTGCAACTATCGAACATTTATTTTTGCGAACTCGGTCCAGCAGACTTTTTATTGCGCGCAGCATTTTGGACGCAGATCCGTACAGAGAGGCACAGCCAGAGTGCTGCCTAGCCTCGCTAGCACCTGACCCTTCCCAGCCTTCGCCTGTTCACGTCCGATGTTCCACCGCGAACCAGAGAAGCTCAAGGTAGACCAAACGGGTCAGAAGGTGTTTCCTAAGATAAAAGTCTGGGAGGGTCTGGTGATTCTCGCTTCGAACTTTGCTTCGTGCGAGCCGTAAAGACAGCCATGGCACGCTTGCTGACGCTTAGCTTGATCCTGGCTGATGCATCGGATCTTCAGGCGCGGCTTCGGCCCTAAGTGCTCCAAGCAGAAAGTAGAGTCCAAGCTCTGGGAACCTTCAATCAACCCTTGGTTGAAATGTGGCGTTTATCTTGCTGGTGCTCGGCAGGGAATGAGGGAATGACCCCAAGAAAACCATCCCCTATGGTTTCCTTTAAGGGAACCCCCAGGTTGATTCCCTCATTCCTTGCTGAGCACCTGCAAGTTATGAGGGAGCTCTGCACTTTTGGAGGGGGAATTAGTCATATTCCCCCAGTGGACTGCTGGCTGTGCACAGCGAGCCGCAGGTGGTGTCCAACGACCAGGCCTTTGCACTTGTGACGCTCGGCATGGGTTTACCTGACGACTGCATCACAGGTGACAGAAGAGCTCCCACTGTGTTTAAAAGCTGGTTGTGGAAAGCCACAGCCACAATTGCTTCACCATCTTAGTCTTTTTTTGTGGATGAACTGTGCCTTTGTTCGTTCGTTCTGTGTGCTTGGGCATTTTCTGGGGTGCAGGTGTCGTATTCTTCGAATAGTTATGTTTTTGTTGCTGATATGGTATAGTCAGAGCGGCCCTGGGTTTCTTCTGACATGGTTGGATCACAGGACTTTGTTTGAAGGAGCTGCGGGAAGCAAGTGCGAGGGGTGGGTCGCAGGGAGCTGTGGCAGCTTAGAATCAAGAGCCGTCTATTTGAAGGCAAGGGAGCGTGCAAAACAGATCCCAGGGCTGGAGCATGGGGTGTGAGACAGCAACGACCACTTGTTGCTTGAGGTTATGTTTGAGTTGTTCCTGATGGTTCCTTTTTGGTTCTTCAGAGGCAAATGGAGGGGCATGAGGGGCACGTGGATTCGAGCCGCTTACTGGCGCCAAGCAATGGAACCGTTGACATTCAGTGTGGTGTTGGGACACATGTTGCCATTTGAAGGTGGATTCATATGCACACTAGAATGTGACATCAAGAGAACAGCGCCAGTTGTCTGCCATTCTTTGGGAGCATATACTGATTGGGAGCTGGAGCAGCAACTGAATGACTGGTGCTATTTGTAAGTCCTTGCTGCCAAGGGCCATTGCTCACAACCGATGGCTCGGCTCTGAATCATTGGAGTTGGGACCGCGCCCATCGGATCCATTGACCTGGCTTTGTAGGTAACTACCCAAGAAATTGCCACCCCCAGTTGCCCAGCGGCGCCCTTGTTTCCTTTTTTTGGGAAGGGTTCCCCTTTAATCTCAACCAACCAAATCAGGATGCCCTTATCATGGAAATCCACTGGGCTGAGCACCGGATGTAAAAGAAAAGGGTTCGGCAGGGTTCCCCTTTTTCGGGGCTGCGCCTGGCATCCAGAAGGGTGACCTAGGGTCGCAAGTGACCGGATGGGCGGGTCGCAAGTGACCCTACAGCCATCCAGAAGCTCGGGGCACCTCAAAAAAATCCGAGGAACCACGCCACGGGGCTGGGGGCCTGCTGGGGCAACACCCGCTTCGGCGGCGACTGCAGCGCTGTGGACTTCACTGGAGTGACCCAGGCGCTTGGCAGCGGGCGCCCAGCCTCTCCTTTTGGGCAAATGGTAAGGCAAAGGTAAGACTTTATCCCCTAGAAACAGCCAACATCATTTAGGGGTCTTAGTTAAAGGCCCTCATGTGGCTGTGGTGGTCAAAACCGTTAAGCGGGATCCCATTTTGGTTGGGATTGGTCAATTCACCACCCATTTTAGAACCTATTTTAGTAGTTGGATTGAATCGGATGTTCACTGGGGGCTAACCGATTTGGATTTTGACCCATGGCCAAATTTCTCACCGTGGCACTTTCCAGGGGGTTTGCGCATGCTGTTTGCTTGTCAGGTTTGAATCCGTGTTTCTCTCCTTGTTTTGGGAGTGTGGCATGTTTTTTTCGGCGTTTGGCTTGGGGGAACATATGTGTTTCCTTGGTTTGGCACATATGTGTTTTCCTTCTTTGAGAAAACGATGGGAGCGTGTTTCCTGTTTCGGGGACAAGGGTGCGTTCCTCGCCCCTTCCAAAGGCTTTTGCCAACAGGGACCCCTTGGGTTTCTTGGTTTACACTCGGTTCACCAAATGTGGACGAGAATCAAAGATGGATTATGTTTGTTACATTGTTGGTAAGTTGTGGAATGGGTATAGATCTACAGCTAATATTATTCTAACACCCAGAGAAGCACTTTCGGCGCAATTTTCTGGGGGGCCAAAGCTTTTGGGAACTTTGCCGCGGGATAGCCAACACAGGGTGGCCAGAAAACGCTTCCACCCTTGGCTGTTCGGAAATCAGAGAAAGCAACGGCAGGCGAAAGTGATGCGGAAAGGTTTTCGGTGCAAGGAAGACTTGGGGATGAAGATGGGCTGCATTTTCTCTCGAACAATTTTGCACTTCAACTCTTTCCATGCGAATGTGTGTGAGTGTGTTTCTGGGTGTGGGGGTGTGGGAGTGGGTGTGGGTGTGGGGTGTGCACGTGTCAAGACACCCTGGATTCATTTGGTTTCCTTTTTAATCAAACATGAGACGAAACACACAGGCAAGAAAAAGCCATTTGGATACGTCCAATATTATGTTGGATTCCCATCCCCAACTCTGAATTCAACAAAAGTGGTTGTGCAGACTTCTTTGGCGTTTGGTTCAGGAAGTGAGGCGTTCACAATACAATTCGCAGTTGCGGGCCTCCATACATTTCTTAAACATCACCGGCGGCCTATTTGAAGTGAGTTTACTTTCCGAGGTGTGAAAGGCTTCAAAGGATCTCCGAGCTATGTTGCCCGGGTAATTCTGTTTTAAACCTTGGACGTATGAAGGTCCCTTTGAACGCATGTAACACGTTGCACTTTTAAATACCTTGGAGGACATCATGAAGCTACATGTGTCTCCTCCCCGTTTTTGGGGGAATGAAATATGGGTGTGTCTTTTTTAGGGAGCCCCCTTTTTGGTTGGGTTTGCAGTGGAAACCAAAAGAACAACAACATTTTTGTTTTGGTGGTGAGGGTCCGATTCCTAAACAGGACGCACCCATATGCAGGATTCGGCGGAATGGCCAATTGGCCAGGTGAGCCGCAATCAAATCCCGGATGAAGGTTTGCAAGCGAAAATCCCAACCATATGGGTGCAGCCGCTGTTTTTGTTGCTTTCTTTACATCGTTTTTCTAGCAGTTCAACACCAGGTTTTGATGTACATGTAAAAACAAAAAACACGTTTTGACGTACGGTTCTACCCATTTTAATACCAGGTGTTTCATCTACGTCGCAATAGGCTTTGGTTTTATGACTCGGTTCCACCCATTTCAAAACCCTTGAAACAACCAACGTGGCACTTGACAGAGGATCACTACAAGAGAAACATGATCTTGCAGGCACCCTCCTAGCACTGCTATGTTGGAAAGGAGGGTACCAGGTTTGGATCGTATGACTGGGGGTTTTCTATTACCATGTTTTTCATTCACATGGTTCTACCCATGTTCATATCAGGTTGTTCATTTTTACGTTGTTTGATTGTATGACTCGGCTCCACCCATTTGAAGACCAGGTTTGGATCTTACTCGCGGGTTTCGCCGGATGTCGCCAGGTCCATTCCAACGAGTTCGCCTTTGTGGCGCTCAAGGATGGCAGCGCCCAGTGCTGGGGCGACGCCTCGGGAGGATCGAGCTGAAGAGAACGAGGGGCGCTGCCGTTTGTTTTTTGGGGGCTCTCGGTGCCCTTTAGGGGGGGGTCAAAAGGCTGAAAAATTATTGAAAAGGAATCAACCCCCAGATTTCGCTGGCAATGCAACATGCCACATCAGAAACGCTCAAAAGAACGTTTCTTGCTTGTCGTACTTGCAATTTAATTGTCAGAGTCCCTGTTGCCACATTTAGCTGCAGGTCCTCGCGAGATCACAGTGGCCATGACCTGTTTCTTTATTCAAGCCTCAGGTCCATGATCTTTTTCGGCCAATGCAACGACGTTCCTGCTGGATTCCGGCGTGGGCCGCCGATGTTTTACCCGGCGGAGGGTCCCACCTGTCCGGGAGGATGAAATTTTGTCGGCGAGCCGAGACAGAACCTGGATCTCTTCAACTTTGGTTTTTCAAAATGATCCATGCTCCGTGCTGGACGTTTAGTGACTTTTGGGCATGGTGCAGATTTTGAGGTAACTGGCACTTGGGGTTTTTCCAAGGGTTAAGATGTTCAGGTCTCCGGACCATTCCAAGGCTCCAAGAAGCTTCCATCCCTAGGGCGCTTGTTATTGAGAATTTATGACCTTCTCAAAATTTGGGACTGCTCCAAGTGGGTGGGGTCCTTTTTGCTTTCCTATTAACAAAACACCATCCAACACGGGCCCCCCTGGAGCCCGCCTTAGAGAACTTCTCGCAAGCACCAGGGCTCAAGCTCTTCGCGCGCAGGAGACTGCACTGGCGTGGACTTCACAGGTATGACACGGCTGTATGGCACGGACTACAGCTTCGCAGCCTTCGACCCCGCGAACGGCCGAGGCGGGGCTTGGTGGCGGGTTGGCGATGCGTCAGATCTTGGGGAAGCCACCCGGGTCCAAAAGCCGCCCGCTTTTTGGACCTCGGGTTCTGCAGTCTTGCACAGGGGGGAAAGCAACACAAGCAGTTGGGGAGTGCTGGAGGTAACTTTCTGACACCTCAAGCGAGAGGGTCAGGCGGCATCGCAGGGGAACTCATGAGATTCGCAGAGTTTTTAGTTCTTTGTTTCCGAATGTGTATCTCACCGAAAGTATAGCTTTCATACAAACCAACCACCGGCTGGTCTATAGGAAATGGGCAAAAGACCCGCCCAACATCCCCAGAGAAACCCCGCGTGGCCATGGTTCGATCGCTGAGGCGTGTGCTTCGGGAACCCCGCGTATGGCGGGGACTGCAGCAGTGTGGACTTCAGCCAGGTCTCTGAGATCTACGCCAACCTGCTGGCCTTCGCTTCTTGGACCTCTCATGGGGTGGGGTGGATGGTGGGGTGGGGTGCAGTGCGCTGCGTATTTTGTGGCAGGCGCAGCACTTTCGCGAGGCAAATTTACCCCAATCTTGCAGGGTTCGGACGCACCCCGCAATGTCTGGTAGGGGTTGGGCAGGCTGGGTGGTGGGGTGGTGGAGTGGGGGGGGAATGGTCTTTGGATGGGCTTGAACTTGTTATGTCTGGTTCTTGTAAGCGGGAATCTCCTCAAACCTCCAAACCAGGGCAGTCTCTAAGGTTCCCTTTGATTCAGTCCTCTGGAATTCCGAATCGCTTCAAGCGCCATCCCCCATCGTTCCCGTACCAAAAAGCATGTAGCCTTTGTAGCCAGTTGCCGGGATTCTGCGGGATTAGTCAACCCCACTTCAAACAGCCCAGACAATGTAAGCAATTCTACTTTTCAAGGTGACGCGCGTGGAATTTACCATTTTGGGGTAGGTGCACCACGCATTTTAGCCCATCGTAGTGGGGATTGGGATGTTGTTTTTGGGGTACGGGCTTTTGACCCATGGCCATTTGTTGGAACATGCAACTGGACCATACGTATCAAAGCTTCGGTGAGGCTCGCCCGCGGCCAACGGACTCCTGAAACCCGAAAAACCCGCAGCCGACAGGCCTTGGGTGTTTTACACCTAGCTCCCCCAGCTGGTGTCCTTTCTCACCCTTTTTTGGTTGGGAGGGTTCCCCTACTAGAATAGACTACAGAAAAGTTGGTACCCTTATTCTAACCTCTCTACTGGAGGAGCTAGACACAAGTCGCTTGGGGTGACCGATTGTAAATTGTCTAGACCGACTGAAAAGAGGGCACCCTCAAAAATAGACGAGCCATCCATGCAAAGGTGACATGGCAGGAACCCCCTCCCAATGAGCTTTCCGCGTGAACATGACGACTCTAGTTCAAGGGCCTCTTTTTAAGCGGACACGGAGCATCCCTTTCTCTTAGCTTTTGAGGGAACCCTGATAAGGTGTGCCTTAAAAGGAAACCACGAGGAAAACCGAAGCCATTTTTGGGGGTATCCTAAGAATAGACAATATTCAGTAGTATCAAGTGTCAGTCACCATGCAAATGCACACCCCAGCAGAACTATTCGGCCAAGCAGCGGGTAGTTCGGGTCATGCCGTTAAACGTGCCCTGAACGTTGGAATTTGGGGCTTGCAGTTTCCTAGAAGCGGTCCATTAAAGCAGCATCCTTGAATGAACCCCTCTAATTGGCAACATAGACCCCCAACTGAACTGTCCACCATACCCACCCACCCACCCCAAACAAACAAACAAACAAACCACAAAACGGAACATCAACAATTAGGTCGGACCCCTGAAAAGGCACCCGCTCTTGGGCTCTTGGGCCCAGTCTCCCGCCTGCCCCGCGAAGAAAAATCCCGAGCGCTCGGGGAACTCTCCGAGGTGGCGCTGAGCCCATCGGTGGGCACGGCCCAGTGCTGGGGCTTCGGCTCCTACGGTGGGGACTGCGGCGCCGTGGACTTCCAAGGCGTCACGGAGGCGGGGCTGGCGGAGCCCCGGGGTTTGGTCACCAGAACCTGGCCCTCAACATGCTTGTTAGGAAACATGTTTTACATTTTCGCTTATTGTGGTTTAGTGGTCAAAATCCAACCACTTAACTGCTAAACATAATAATTTGTGCTCCCCTTCCAACGTCAACCAAGTTAAAATCCAGGCTGGTGAGTCCATTCCCCTGGTTTGCTAGGAAACCAACAACTTGCCCCTGGGTTGGTAGGTAACCAACAACTTGCCACCCTTAAAATCCAGGCTGGGATCTACTGGGACATAGGTCTTTTTGCTTTGAACGCAGAACAGTTTCTTGACTTTTGACCAAGGGTCGGTTCCAATTTGGAGCCGGTCTGTTTGTTTTAAGTGAGAGCGAATGTATTTGGGGCATGTGGTGATCTTCAAGCTGCAATGCATGAACAGGAGCCGAAAGACAGCCCAGTTGTGTTTACCTGCCAACACATGGTTGTCGTTGGGAAACATTTTACATTTTTGCTTATTGTGGTTTAGTGGGAAATCCCCACTTAACTGCTAAAATTTAAATTGTTGCTTCCCTTCCAACGTCAACCAAGAACAGAGTCTACCTGTTTCCCTTGATTTTAGATTCGATGGCGGAAAGAACTTGGCTCATGGAGTGACAGCCGAGAAGGGCCAATAACGTCCCACCTGCTTGCAAGAAGCAGAATATATATATATATAACCTTACTGGTAAAAAGGACCTGGAAAGACAAGGTTACCCTTGTGGGACCTTTACAACACAAATGGCAGCCAAACACGAACAGCCAAAAGGTCAGTCCGCTCGATGCGCTTTTTTTTGTTTTTTTGAGCAACCCGAGAAATTCTATGGCAACACGGCAAAAAATGCTATGCCTTTCTGATGGCTATCAGCTCTTGAGTCCTTGGTCTACCCAGACATCCCTTCAAACAGGTTACCCTTCTCTGAACAGCTTCGCGTTCTGCACATGTTCTGCATGGGTTGTAGACGAGTCAAGGGAGCCCAGATCGGCAACTTAGCCGGACGGCTGAGGCAAAGGGATATTCGAGGGCAACCAGGTTGCCAATACCTGCCTGGACAAAATGGGAGTGTCTTTAGGTACCTTTGTTTAGTGGTAGAGAGACAAGAAAACCACATTTTTTGGGGGGTCCTCCATTGAATGGACCCTTGGCTTTCGTCTCATCTAAACAACAAGGCCAGAAAGCTCAGGTCAGTGATGATGTGCTGCAAACACCGTGCTTAGAATGCTACAATTGGGGGAGCTGCCAATATTTTGTTGGATGGGCTTGAAGCCATTGTAGGCTCAATTTTCTCAACCTACAGTACATGTAACCATTTTCAGGATATGAATGCATGCCGCTTTGGAGGCACCAGCATGTGTTTGCATCCTTTCCTTGTGCTACTGGAGAGCTGCTTTTGGTCCCATCTGCCTAAGAAACTCAGGACGTGTGGATCAAGAACGCAACCCCACTGATTCCGGTTACATCCAATTGCCCCCAATTGTTGGTAACCAAGTTGGGAATCAACGCCATCCAAGATGTGAGGACCAGTCAGGTCAAGATCAGCTGCCTTCTCTAGGCAGCCCTCACCCTTGGGCTATTTTCGATATCCGGCTGTGTGCTGAATGGTCCATTGCGTTTATTTTCCCGGAACGCCAAAGGGGACTTCGGCAAGTTTGTTGTTTCTGACCCTAGCAACGCACGCCAGCATGATGCGCGAGTTCTGCCTCGTCTTGACTCATTCCCAAACACACGATATTGCGCCGCCATTTAGCCGAACCTTCCAATGCTCAGGTTGCCGCAGTTAGTGGTTCGGATTGGCTTGTGGGAAACCACCCCCAAACTAAAACCACCAATCCAAACCACCAATTGGGAAGCACCGATTTTTACGCATCGACTCGCCAGGCGGCAAGGAGCAAAGCGCTCGATTTCAGCCATCAAACTCTTCCCTTCTCTTCAGCATACCACCTGCGGGAGGGCACCTGGATCGTTTTCCTCCTCTAGGGACCTGTCAGGTGCCATGTTCCTGAGGCTTCCTTGATTGCGATTCTTTAGACTAACTTTTGGGGAAATCAAGGAGTTGGCTGTTTCCACCACCAACACTTAAAGTGAAAAGCTTTTTGCAGGGTCAACAGCAACCGAGCTCCTCCGGACAGGTGGTTGCCGGCAACTACGCCTTTGTGGCCTTCAACAAGAACGCGGGCACCATCAGCTGCTGGGGTTTCGCCAGTTATGGAGGAGATGGGTCTCGGTGCCCGGTGAACCACAATGGATGGCTTGGGATGGCTTGGTTCCTTAGTTTTTTTTCCCTCAACCAAAGACGGGTCCGCCATTTCGGAGAATCCAAGTTGCTTTGTCTCGCGTTTTTTTTTTGGGAGGGGTGGTGTCTGTCTTGACAGAAGTTGTTTGTTGTTTCACCATGTTTTTCGCTGAGGGGGGGGGGGCGATCTTGACGGATGCGTCAAAGACGCCAGGAGATTGCAGCATGGTGACTGTCGAGGGCATCACGGACATATACACCAACGGTTTGGCCTTCCTGGCCATCAACAAGAACACCGGCCTTGGACAGCTGGGCCCCCAGAAGATCTTTCTCGGTTTTTGGGGGTTCTCCAAATTGAAAACGCCCCCACTTCGCATGGTTTCCTTTGGGTTGCCCTTTAATCACCGCCAAATCTGGAGTGCTTTCGCAGGGAAACCCAAATGAAAGCAGCCATTTTGTAGGGTCCCCCCCTCCATTTTGACACCGTTTTAGGGCGTGTTTTGGGTGAGGGTACCTGTTTGAGGTGACTTTGAAGCCAGAAACCCAAGGGAAAATCATAAGTTGAGGTTGCCCTAGTTTAATACCCATTTGGGCTTGATGCATAATGTTCATCACTCCTCTAATAGTGACTCAAGTGTTATTGGTATCTATCAGTTTCCGACCAAAGTTGTTTTTTTTTGTCTTCGGCTGAAATGGCACGGCTTCTCAGGCCTTTCCTCAATGATTTTCTGTTGAACTGGCAGAGAATTGGCGTCGAGGTGCTGGGGCAATGCGGTGGCTGGCGGCGACTGTTCCGGCATCGACTTCAGTGGAGAGGCGGGACCTGGGATTGAGTCACTGGCACTCCCTGAACTGTTTTTTGGACAGTTGGATGTACTTGGGAATTTGGACAGCAAAAGCAGTTGGGGTGGTGAGGCTTGGATTTGACGGCTTGTCGGGGGAGACGCCAAATAGTCGATTGAGCCTGTGGGTTTTAAATCGTACTGCCGAAGCTGGGAATGGCCCAGGTCTGCCCCGGAAAGACCGGAAAAGCCGCCATCGGCAGTGAGCGGAGTGGCCATCAAACGATTGCACGCGAACATCTCACTTGCGTTGTTAGACGGTTGCCCCAAATACCTCGCGCACCTTGCGTTTGGCCCCCCATGAGGGACTTCCCTTAGCGTTGGACCGCGCGGAAAATGAGGGCAGATTCAGATGTCTTTCAAGAATCTTGCAACAGTCAACGAGCGGAGCTAGTTGCATTCCAATGAACTTGAGAATCGGACACGCTTTGCATGACCATTCCGGCAAACAGTGATTGGGTTTTCTGACAGGACTGTCCCATGCTTGTGACGCATTTTTGTGCCTCCAAGGACCTTTATTTGTCTGTCTAGGGGCCAACCTTGAAATTTAGAAGGCGATGGTTTCCCGACCAAACTGCGATCATCCTGCCCAAGAGGCGATTTTGCCGACGGAGTTTCCGCACAAGTGCGCAACAGGCACCAAACCGCACATGTGCTCACACTTTGAGGTGCTTCTTTTTCTTTGTTTGAGGGGTGTTCCCTTTCAAGTCAGCTAAAAAGGGCTATCTCACAGCAAGAGCATGACCAATCAATGAACAAAAGGTGCCCTGTTGTTGTTTTTTTCTGTGTGTGGCCATTGGAGGTTTGGGGTTATGTTGATGGCCAGTTGGCTAGTTGAGAAAGTTTCCCGCCAGAGGTCAGGGTTTCATGTGGGTTATGTGAGGTCGAGTTCTACTAGTTGAGTTGTTTTGTTTCCCGTGGCCAGAGGTCTTCCGCCTTTTTTTCATTTTCCTGAAATTCCCTGTTGGGAACCTCCAACAGTGGCAGCTTCAAGGGAAACCACCAGCAAATACAACTTTTGAGGGGGACCGAGATCCAGTGATTCCTGTTTTTTGTTTTGTTTGTGTGAGAAATTCAGCGATTTCTGATTTTTGGAGAGGTGAAACGGTGAAGCCATCAAACACCATCAGTACATTGATCCACTTTTCAGGGTGAACTCCCGTGCTTTTTCTGGGTTTTTGGGGGTTGTGAGGTCCAGTTCCTATGTTTTGTGAGGTGGAGATCCACTTCACGCAGTACGCCTTCCTTGCGCTGAAGGCCGGCACCGGCCAATGCTGGGGCCACGCCTCCTACGGCGGCGACTGCAGCGCTGCTCCTCGGAGCGCTTGCCCGCTCGAGCGACCGCGAGGGCATGGCTTTGGGCCCAATCCACATTTCGCACCTCAGAAACTATGGTTGAAACCAGCGAAACCATGGTTGAAACCATGGTAGAAACCACTGTTTGTTGGTATTTACGTTGGGAATCAGACCATTCCAGGGTTTCTTGGTGGATTTCGTCCATCCACAGTAGGTGTGCCATGTGCTCAAAACCCGGGTAGATGAACCTTAAGGGACAATCCCCTTGCCATAACTAGTCACGAAAGCTAGCTTTAGCTAGCTGAAGTTTCTCCTTGCGTAAGCAAGGTAAGGGGCTCAAATGCCGAAAGATTGATTTTTTCAATTATTTGAGCCGAAAAGATTGAAAAACATCAATCATTTAGACCCCCCCCCCCTCCCCCCCCCCCCGGTCTCAGGCTCGATTCCTCCCTGGTCCATCCCCCAGGCAGTGGCTCAGTGTTCAGCAGTCTCGGTTTGCCCGTTTTGGACTTGGTGCTACGAACTTTTACATGTTCCACCGATTCAGCTTGTTCATTTGAGACCTCAGTCTTCTCGGTAAACCACCTCGCAAGAATCTTTGCACACGCAGCATGCAGAACCCAGAGGTGCTTTAAGACAGCTTCTGACGCCTCTCGTTGTTTTCATTTTTCAAGGTTTGCCACGCCACCATGTGCGTTTGCGTGTCGCATCCTACGAATCTTGCCGGGCCTCTCGTTGTACACAAGCTACCTATGAATCCACTCTTTCACCGACCCATCTCATGCAACAACTGCTAGCTTTCGTTCACCCGCTCCTCAAGTTGCGAAAATCCGCCTTCTGAATTCTTTACGTGCTTCTGGGTAGACCAGTTGTGTACCGGGTTTTGATCATGACTCAGACTCAGGCGTCCTGTTTGTTCAGTTGTCAACTAATCTTGGTCCATTCACAAAGTAGGTGTCCTTATTTTGTTGAGTTTAGTTGAAAATTCCAGGGGACTGGTAGCCCTAGGGGTTTAAGTAATCTACCAGGGTCATCCATTTTCCCAAGAGGACAACTATGGTTGCAACCCCTGTCTTCGGAGCATTTCGGGACTCCACCTGCAAATGGTTCTTACAAGGAGCTCCTTTCATCTTTTTATGGTGTCGACATACTTTTTGTAAAGAACAACATATATATATATATATATATCCCTTAAGACCTTACTTTGACATGTCCCATTGTCAAACCGCCAGTTCCCCCCAAAGCGGCCTTCCACCAGCTCCCGGAAGGTCCCCACTCACGGGGAACAAGAGGCGATTTTTTTGACACGCATGTCTTGCGCCACTGACCAAGCGTCTGGTCCATGAATTCTTTGGCTTGCAAAGCCGGCGGCAGTGGAGCTTCCCGGGAAGCCCCGCGGAGACTTCTCACAAGGCTCAGTCAGCATATCAAGTGCTTGCCATGTCCAACAAGAAGCACTCTAAACATAGAGAGTTTTCAAAGGGAAACTATTGAAACTAGTGGACACCACCCATTTTAGCAAATAGCTATCCAAAAGAGACCAACCCATATCGTCATATCGCTACTTTAGGGGGCAACGTACTTAGTAAGTGGTACTAAGCCTTGTGACCCACTTAGCTGACCTATCCTATCAGGGCTTTTGCTGGGTAATAGCCATGTTTTGTTTTTCCCACTTACTAAGTACCCCATGGCCCGTTTAACTCGTGAGCTCCGAGGTGCCCTTCGGCACCATGACCCACGTGCACAGCAACGGCTACGCCTTTGTGGCCCTGGATGCGAACAACGGCTTCGCACGGTGCTGGGGTTTGGCCGCTTACGGAGGCGCCTCCGGATGGGGGGCGGGGGGAGGTTTTGGCTGGTGACACCAAGACGAAGGGGCCTGTCCAGTCACATTGGAGGTGTTTGATCCACAGGGTGAACCTGGAATTGGCATGCAAGATGCGTAAGCTTTCCACATTCACAAGTCAGAGACAGATGTGCAAGGCAGTGTTCAAGGGCTTGATAGAGCAAGACCAACTGCCATGGCAGCGTATCTAAAGGTTATGCAGTACCAGCACACACACACACGACTATGGGGATTCTTATTTCATTCGTTCATTATGCTGAGCAGTGGGTTAGCCTTTGAACCTGTTGCAAATTCAAAGCGATGTTCTCTCTTCTGCAACCAAGCTATGGTTGAGCACTACGTGAATTCATCTGAATTCGTGCTCTTTGCATCCATCCCCTCTCAGCTCCAGCTGTGAGCTGGCCTTAGCCAAGCTCTCTCCGCTTCTCGATGCCATGGCGATATGCGTCAATCTCATTCCCTTTAGGTAATAGTTTTCAATGGATTCCTACGGGCACCATTACTGGCCATGATCCCTTTGCTAGGGCTTGGCAATTGGAACTTGGGTTGGGCTTGACCATAGCTGACATGGGGAGTTTGATGGAAAGCGTCACCCTCTACCACCATAGAATATATTATTGTATCATCTCGCATGTTTGCCGGCAACGCACAATGCTCAGGTAACCCCTAATTGGTGGTTTGGATTAGCGATTTGCGGATTTGAACTCTTTTTTCATCAAACCGTTAGTTCTCTCTAGACAACTGGCTGAAACGCATTGAGGAATTACAGCTTTCCGCTTCCGTGCTAACGGGAAGGCTCTTTTGGTTTACACAACAATGTTGAGAAAACTGGCTGACACGCATTAAGAACGTAAAAGCAACCTCTGAAATTAAGTTGCCTTGCGGGCAATGAACCACAATCAAATCCCAGATAATTCCCAGCCATAAATGAGTGCGGCCGGCTTTTCAACTCTCCACATGATTCTGGGTAGACCATTTTAATACGGCTTGATTGTTACTCAAGTGGGTTTTTGTGGTAGCTCCCTCCTTTTTGGTTGGCTAACTCGGTCTGCCATGGGGATAGGGCGCGTTGGGTAAGAAACGCGCGCGGGCCCGCGCGCGCCGTTTTGGGGGGAAAAGGCGGCTGAGGCGATTGCAGCGGCCAGAACTTCGAGGGCCTCACCCATCTCTACTCCACCAGCTCCGCCTTTGTCGCCCTCAACCCGGCGCCTGGAAAATCAGACCGAGGGGGAGGGGGCGAGCCTACCAGGCGCAGACATCCAACATACTGCGGGGGGCAATGTCTAGTCTATATTTGGGGATTCGCCCTTGTTGGTCTTTTGTGGCACTTTTCCAGGGACCAACTTTCTATGCTCGCATCTTAGTAGCAGTGCAACATCTCGAACATCGGATCGGTTAGTTGAGTCGAGAGCAGTTCCCTGCCCGGTCGAGAGACAAGTCCTTGTGCTTCAGACCCAGATGCGATGTTGGGCCGGTTGCGTCATGCCAAATTGTGAGACATTTTTGTTGACCAGGGGCGCTTTTAACTGGGAACAGCGGAAGGGGCGATGGCCGCGGAATTTCAGAAAAAGGATCCGGAGGCTGGATCGTTTGGGTTTCCAATGATCTGATGCCTATGTGCGTCTGTCTCAAAACATGATTATGAAGCCCCATCATTGCCTTGGTTTCTTTTTTGGTTTTCCTTTTAACCAACCCCAAGAAGGGTACCCACGCCCCACACCCCAGGAAGCGGCTCTTAGAATCTTGTTAGGGCTTCTTAGAAGAGGTCTGAGAACCATTCTGGCGAGCGGGGTGTTGCGGTGCCCGATGTTGCTCGCCTGCACCAATCGGCATTGGCATTGCACAAGGCCGAGAGCATGAAGCCTTAAGTGAGGGTGGTTGCCTTCTTGTTGGACTTTTTAGTCAGAGGGAGAAGGAAAGGGCTCCGATTTCCGGAATTTCGGGTGGGTTTCCAATGTCCTTCCCCAACCAACCGTAATTACTCACATGAATATTGACCAGCAGTATAAATGGGCAGCCTCCAGCAAAAAGAAACAAACAGTTTCCTCTTGCCTTCTCGTAAAAAAGCAAAATCCGACTTTGAAAGATACACAAATCCACAGAGCCAGATGGGCAGGGCCCAAAATTAAACAGCTGCGGTTACGCGGGTTTTAGTCTTTGGTTCCATTTTCCCAGGTGCCATGTGGTACCACTTTTTTGAGGCACAGATCCATATCGACTACCAACGACATCAGACCAGAGCAATTCTCAGGTGACCGGAGCCGCGCTGTGCTGGGGCATCGCAACCTCCGGTGGCGATTGCAGCGGACAGGACGGGCCTTTCGCGCGGCTCTGCATCTCAAATGGCTGTGGTTGGCAAAACCGTTTTGGGATCCCATTTTGGTTGGTAGGTGAATTCAGCACCCATTTTAAAACCTATTTTAGTGGGAAAACCGTGTTGGTACCACTTTGGTTGGGATTGGTGAATTCAGCACCCATTTTAGAACCTATTTTAGTGGGGATTTGGATCTTCACTGGGGGTACGATTTGGATTTTATGGCCAAATATGGATACCACAAAAGGCCTATGAATGTCTTGTTTTCCCAAAAAGAAGCGTGTTTTGCTTCCCCAAAAAGTGCAAAACATCCTGAAAAATGGTGTTTACCCAGCAAGAGTTGCATTTTTGATTTCATGGTCTCCAGAGCCCCTGAACGTTCTTTTGATGGCTTTCAACGTATCACTTTTTGGGCCCATTCGTTGAGATTTCGGCGTGATGTGATTGTGTGATCGAGGATCCATGGAAAAACCTAAAGGGTAACACCCAACTGGCATAGGGGACCAAGCCAGGAGGATCTGGACATATTAAAAAGGAACCCCCCACTTGCTGGAGGTTTGACCATCACAGGACCTTTTTCTAGCTACTCCTTCTTGGGATGCACCTTGGACCATTTGTCCACTTCCAGCACTCAACCACTTCTTTCTCGGACACTGGGATTTTGCTTGCACATGCGTAGAATTCGCAGCTGGGTGCTGGTTGGCTCACTGAGTGCGTGGTCCAGAAAGAATCTGTTTTTTTTGCTTGCCACTAAAATAGACCCGAAAAAATATGGCCCCAAACAAATCTAAACTGTTTGTTTACGACTAAGATGGCCCAACCCCCAAAAGTCTGAAGTCCAGGGTTTCCAGGACTTGGGCATCGACTCCTTCACGTGTTGCTTGTGGTTTAGTGGTTGAAATCCCACCACTGAACTGCTAAAACTGCCAAAACTTGATATTTTTCGCCAGTTTCGGCCGCCCTTTTCCAAGTCGTCAACCACGACTCCTGGAGGACCTCAGCGGATTCTCGGAGGTCCACTCCAACTACGGGGCCTTTGTGGCGCTGAACCCGGCGCAGCGCGCGGGGCTCGCCTGGGGCTCCGCCACGCAGGGCGGCGACGCCACGGGGGTCGACTGGTGGCTTCGGCCCCGAAGTGGTGGTGGGAACGTCGCGCGCGACGATGTGTGTGCTTTGCGGCGTGTTGCCAAGGGAGGTTAGGACTTTAACTTGTTGATCCAACTCATGGGTTTTCCGAATTAAACCACTAAGAGTTAAACTTTCTGCAGGGGAGCAGAAAGCAACCGAGTGTGTGTGTCTGTGTGTGTGTGTGTGTGTGTTTCTATGTGTTTCTTCTTGCGGTGCTTGAAAAACGTGTCCTTGCAAAGCACAAGTGGTCCGTTCCAGGGGTTGATTCCTTTTCCATTCTTTTCAGCCATCGTTCTTTTCAAAAACCAGATCCATTTCCCTAGGGTTTTTTGTGGTTTTCTAGAAAGAAGGATCCCTGAAAAGAATGGGGAAGCTACCTCTAGAGGTGTGTGTGTTTCTCCTGGCTGTTTGAAGCAGGGTTTCCTTGCAAAGCACAAGTGGTCCTGCTTTTTGCGTCTTCCCTCAAAGCAAGCAAGCTGTTCAAAAAGGTCTTTGTGGAGTTTTCCCTCGGAATGCAAGCTCTTCCTCTTTTGCCAGTGGCTTTCCCTTGTCATCTCCATGCCTTCGTGTCCTTGAAAACAAATGCCAAGAAGCACTGGGAAAGGCCCGGGACTTCCAAACCACAAGTGTGTCTCTGTGTATGTTTCTTCTGCAAGACAACCCTCTCAGCTTGGTTTAAAGGGAAGCCCAAAGGAACACCGACACCCTATTTTGGTAAAGCCAAATACACCCATCACACCCTGGGGGGAGGGAGCCCCAATAAGCCCCAAATACGGCCTTATTGGGGGCTTAATAAGGGCTTATTTGGGCTCCCTCGCCCTCCCGTCCCTCCCCCCCAGCCCCCATGATGGTTGTTTTTTGGAAAAAGCGGGTGGCGAAGCAAGCGGTAGCTAGGTGGAACCTCCTGCACGTGCCCACGGAAACGGCGACCAGCACCGTGACGCTGACCAGCAGCTTGCATGGGAATGGGTTCCACGTGGGCCTACGTAGGCTAGGTCCCCCAGTAGTGCCCTTTTATCGTTTCTTTTTTGGGGGAGGCTTCGCCTACTAAAATAGACTACAGCAAAAAGGGTACCCTTATTCTAACTCCCCTACTGGAGGACCTAGGGTTTAGATGTGGTAGAAATAGATTCCTACTGGTTTATATTGGTTTTATGCCATCCATTTATCAGTGAAATTCATGGTTTGTCCAAAAGGCTACCTAATATTTGGGTGCGTCCCCCCCCCCAACTTTTGGTTTCCCTGAAGACCACCAACAGAAACGGGTAATGTTGGACCCTTCATAATGTAACCCTCCCTCCCTCAACACTGAAACCACGCAGCGGGACCTATTTAGTGAAAATCCTGGGGGTCTGGGTGGAACTTGTACTTGCTAGTGCTTACTCACTGTAGTATAGCCAAGACTAGATTCCCAGTACTTACCTTAGTATTGCCAAGACTAAATTTAGTATTGCCAAGGCTTACTCTCAGATTCCCAGGACTTACTTATTGCCAATTCTAATTTAGCTGGGAGGAGCCAGGTTTTTCAACAACCCCAACAAAAGCTGGACACTAAAGAGGACCCCAAAACAGTCACATTGAAGAGGATCAGGGCCTCTTGGGGGCGACCCCCTTTGTGTGACTGTTTGCCTTTACAGTTGTGTAAAGAAGGTATCTTAAATTGATGGTTTGGGGGCCCAATCAAGCACATTCCCAGGTGTTTGCCCGGATTTGTTTGCCGGACATGTTTGGCCAGTTGTTTGGTGCTCAGACGTGTTTTCCAGCGTTTTTTTCCCGGCAAGGAACATTCCGCAACTGAATTAGGAACAACACTTTCTACAATAGAGGTGTAAAGTTACCCTTCAGAAAAAGACACACTTTTCTGTTGTTTGTTTGAGGGAACGAGTGTACCCGGTTTTGAGAGCATCGAAAGCTTTGGGGATCACCCAAAGCGTAAATAATTTGAGCTGCCAAACCCGGCTGGACGCTTTTGCTTAATTTGTCTCCCTTTTAGGGTACAACAACTGTGTACAGGGGGTGGAACCAGCCCAAGTGGGCTCTTGGCTGACACTGGCCTCCTTTTGGCTCTAAATGGCCCCCCCCCATTTTGAGACAACTCCACCTGATGGTTGCTTTCTGAGTACTAGCATGTTCTTTGTGACAGGCGTTATTTTTCTTACCGATTTTGAATTTGACCCCCAACCAATGATGAGAGATGGCTTGCAGTTGTGTTCGTATGGTTGTGCTTTAGCTATACAAATGGGTTTGAGTGATGGCGCAACAGCCCTGCAAACAAACACCCGCAAACAGAACGCAGAGCTGCGTATGGAAAGATTGTTCATAGCTTTCAGCAGGCAAGTGTCAGTTGACTGGCGCCCAATTAGCATAAAAGGTGTCAGAAGGGTTTGTGGAGACTGCCTTGGTTCCACATTGCAGCCAAGGCACACTGACCAGCGTCACTATGACAAATACGGCGACTACGTTTACTACCACTAGCACCGCCACTGCCACGAGCGTGACGAGCACAGAAACAACAGTGACGAAGACCACTACTGCGACCACCACTGGAACGACCGTCACCCAGTCAAGCACTGTGACCAGCACCACCCTCACAACCACCACCATGACCAGCGTGACTGAGACCAGCACTGTGACCAGCACGACCCTCACAACCACCACCATGACCACCGTGACTCAGACCAGCACTGTGACCAGCACTGTGACCAGCACCACCCTCACGACTACCACCCTGACCACCGTGACTCAGACCAGCACTGTGACCAGCACCACCCTGACCACAACCACCATGACAACCGTGACTCAGACTAGCACTGTGACGAGCACGACCCTCACAACCACCACCATGACCAGCGTGACTCAGACCAGCACTGTGACCAGCACGACCCTGACCACAACCACCATCACCACCGTGACTCAGACTAGCACCGTGACCAGCACGACCCTCACAACCACCACCATGACCACCGTGACTCAGACTAGCACCGTGACCAGCACGACCCTCACAACCACCACCACGACCAGCGTGACTCAGACTAGCACCTTGACGAGCACGACCCTCACAACCACCACCATGACCAGCGTGACTCAGACCAGCACTGTGACCAGCACGACCCTGACCACAACCACCGTCACCACCGTGACTCAGACTAGCACCGTGACCAGCACGACCCTCACAACCACCACCATGACCACCCTGACTCAGACTAGCACCGTGACCAGCACGACTCTCACAACCACCACCATGACCACCGTGACTCAGACTAGCACCGTGACCAGCACCACCCTCACAACCACCACCATGACCAGCGTGACTCAGACAAGCACTGTGACCAGCACCACACTCACAACCACCACCATGACCACCGTAACTCAAACCAGCACTGTGACCACTGTGACGCAGACCAGCACTGTGACCAGCACCACCCTCACGACTACCACCCTGACCACCGTGACTCACACCAGCACTGTGACCAGCACGACCCTCACAACCACCACCATGACCACCGTGACTCAGACCAGCACTGTGACCAGCACCACCTCTACGACTACGTTGACCACTGTGACAACGACCCTGACAACTGTGACAATGACCAGCACAACTTCCTCAACGACCACCACGGTCTTTCGTGGCATCCTGGTGAGAACTATTGCGGCCCTCAGTGTGCGAGTGCATTTTTTTAAAAAAATAGCGTGCGTGCTCGTCGATTGAAGCGTGCGTACCTGCCCGCGAGCCTGCGTGCATTTGTGCTTTTGCGTGAATGTTTGTGTGTGTGTGCGCGAGCGTTGGCGGGTGCCTGCGCGTGTGATGAATCTGTCAGCAGAGGAAGATGTGCCAATGTTTGCAAGATCATCATGAACAGCTGGAAGGGCGTGTGTGAAACTTGGCTGCACGCAGTTTCTGATTGGACATGTTGGACATTGTTGAACCCGCCAGCAAAGCCCTGTGGAATGCGTAGAGGGTCAAGGGGTTGCCGCGATTGCCATGACAGCTCAAGAAGTCAGGATTGACACGGACAGTGTTTGCATGTGTCCATGTTCTGGCCACGGCAAGCTAGTTTTGGTCAATTGAACTGTTGTATACGTCTTGGTTGCAGGGAAGAAGGAGCCAATCAAGAAGCTGTGCCACGGTACTGTGCAATCCTGCCGGTGGTCATGCTGCTGATCATGTTGACATAGTACTCGCGGATATACTCCAATTAAAGAGGTCCTATCCCGTGAAACAACAGCAAAACTACAATGCCATGCTACATGTTCCCGCTGCTTGTTACACGCAAATGGAACACCTTAAAAAATGAAGGAGCCCCTCAATTCATGGCACGCAGCTCCGGCAATTCCAATACGGTTCCCGTTGCAATCCCGTTGGCCAGACACAGGCCTAAGAGAAAACAAGAGAGCCAGACAGGATCAGAGAGGACGCACCAGCTCACTGCTTTCATCCAGGGGTTACACACAAAGCTGTCAAGAGTGGCCTGGCGGTTCTTGAGGTAGTGGTTTTTTTGGTTGGTTGAGTGGGGGGTTCCATTTAACCCACTAACAGTTATTTACTTTCAGGGATCTGAGGACTGCCCAGTTGACTGTTGATCTTCAGGCACTGCCTGCTCCAAAGACTAACACAACAGCCTTGCTGTTCTTGATGCACGCAGATCTCGACCACCTCCAAATGAGACGGAATCATCTATATATACATCCGGCGAGGGAGCCCGCGCTAAGCCTCCCTTTCCAGAAGGGCCTTTTCTTAGCTGAAAATAGTTTTTGTTTTCTCGTTTGGCCAGGATCGTGGGGAATTTCTTGCATTTTTTTACAGAAAGTCTTCTCTTTTTTTTTTTTTTTTTTCCGAGCCTTCCCTCAGATAGTCTATTCGCGCTGCACGTACTTCAGATGTCCATCGCACCCACTAAACAGATTCTCTTCCGGCTTCTTGTGGCCTTTGCATCTAGATGTCCAGTCAATCCGACATTCGAACGACCCAAACCTCGTGTTTATGCCAAAAGGATCGAATTCATTTCTGCGGCCTTCCTGCTTGATGTATCGGTACGGGTCAACTTTGCGTTGGGGGAGAAAAAAAACACACCCATTTTTGGGGTCGTCTTTCTTTGAGGAGACCTTTCTATTTGGTTTTTTTTGTTTGGTTTCCCCTTAAAGCAATTTCTGGAAAGGTATGTACCCTCAAGACACGCACTCCCATTTGGGAGTGTCTTTCTTGGAGGCGTTCCCTGTTCTTTCTTTCTTTTTAGAAGGGAAACCAAGAGAAAACATCGCAGCCATGGGGGTGGCTCTCTCTCAATAGACGAGCCTCCGTCCGGCTCAACGCCCATTTGTGCGTTGAGGACTGGAAGATCTGCAAGGGCTGCGAGCGGTGCAACATCGAGGAGCCCGAGCCGGAGCCCGCCATGGAGCCCTGCCACTCGTTCAAAAGCGCGCGCGTGAGTGGCATGCGGGGTGCCGCGTCTTTTGGAGGGGTGGGGCCAAAAGGAAACCAACCGGAAAGAAACAAACAAATTGGCCTCCCCCCCTTGCCCGAGTTTGAAACAAAGCCATGTTGGCGGACGCCATGTTTGTCTCTTTTGAAAGATCCACGGATCCCGACTGTCTCCAAACGGGGGAACCTCAGAATGGATGTTTTCCCTGTGAATACATGGTAGGCTTCATTTTCCTTTAAAGCACCCCAACAAATACCGAGAATTCTCTCCACACCGAACCAAAGCATCCCGTTGAACCAACAACTCTCCGACCGGTGACCTGTTTACGAAGCGCATGTGAGTCACGGTCAAAATATGCGTAGACCTCGCAGAAAGTAAAGCGGGCTCGGTTTTAGCATGAATGCGCAGAAAACCTTGCAAAACGATAGGGCCCCCAGTGGGCGATGCCTGATTCTGAGAAGTCAGGTCGCCCTTTGGTTTGAATTGGGGGTTGAACCCTGCTGCAAGGTCAGGTTAAATGGGACACCATCTTAATGCCGGATCCCCGCCGAGCCAAAGCGCCAAGAAGCAAGCTGAAAATTGTGGGTGTCGCTTTTTTGGGGAAAAAGAAGGCTTTTGGTTGGTTTTATCAAGGGAAGCCAAAAGGAAAACCACTTCCCGAAACAAACACCCAAGCCGGGGTTCCATGTTGGGAGCCGAGACACCTGTTGGGCTCGACTCAGGCTCCAGCGTTTGCGACTCCTACCGCAAGAACGCGAACAAGGGACCCTGGGCTGACTGATCTGGGACCTCGTTGGAATGGTTCTTGTTCTAGGGGACACTTCCCCATTCTTTCCAGGGATCCTTCTTTCCAGAAAACCAACAGCACCCCAGGGGAAACAGCTGGCTTTTGAAAAGAACGGTGGTTGAAGAGAATGGGGAATCAACCCCTAGAATTGTCTTGCGGATTAGAATCAAACGTATCTAGTTTTGGGGGGCAGCTGAGGTAGGGACCATTGTTGCCCCCTGAATGAGCCTTTGCCTTCCAGTCACCGCAGAACCATGGGATGCCCAAGGGTACGTGTCCTGTTCTGGCAAGCCTTTGGTGGGTTAGCATGATGTGGCGTTGAAATGAGCAGGTCAGGTTGAAAGAAACACGTCCTTGAATGGCTATGGGCGCTTTACCGCATCTCGATTGTTGATACGTGTCTTACTATGCTTTCCGCCAGTCAGGAGGCAGGCATCAGAAGAGGGGAGCTTGAAGCTTTGGCAGTTGCTTCTTTTGCATCCCATGCTATGTGCCCCATGCTTCAATTTATTGGACTGACATATGACATTGCGTTTGTGAGCAGACAACCACGCAATATGAGATAATCATGGGATTAGTCATATACACGTTCGATTGGTGCGAAGAGGGGGGAAGTTGTTGAAATCGAAAGGTCTGTACCGCCTCAAGGGTTTGAGGAATGGATGGTCGTGTATTTGACATATGATATCCAACCAATGAATGAGAACACAAGCACACATGCGGGCACTGCGGCAGCAATCTGCTAACTTGATTGGCAGACCACACTACAACGTTTGAGAGTTCACCCAAACATTAGAAGCATGCTTGTTTGCTAGCATCGATTTCGAGTACCAACCAACACAACACATGGTCAATTCCTGAAAGGAAGCAAAGACCTCTTGCACCATTTTCCTGACTCCCTGTTCGCCTGCTTTGCCAAGATGACCACTCACCTTGCTTCAGTTGCATGAACTTGCCTCGGTTGATGCACGGCATGATTACGCGGGTTTGAGACCTCTTGTCATGTCCGGCATTTTTCTTTTCCCTTTGCTTGTTTGTTGAGTAAGTACTATTGTTGATGCGCTCTTCTGAATTCAGCGTTGCGTGACATCGGAAAGGGTTTTGCGTTCTTGACGCACTCTCCGCCCGCTTCATTGTGGCAGACAAGTATGACAAATGCATTCCCGGACGCTTGTTGAGAACTCACTGGAAGCAGTGCGTCACTCGATTGTGATGTGTTTTTCTACACATGTCAATTGCCAGCATTTCTTGCATCCATGTGGTGAAGCTGACATGGCCGGGTGAAGGGGGAAATCAGTGGAATAGCAATGTAAAGCTTTCTTCGATAAAAGGAGCTCAGTTGCAACTTGATTGTGTTGTTTTGTTATTTTTCTCTTGCAGCAAGCTTGTAGTGCCAAGTAAGTGAACACAACATTTTCGAGTTACTCAGGCTTTGTAGGCTTTGGGAAGTTCACGTGGAATCCGACGTCTGCTCAAAGGAAACGGTGCAAAGCACTGCGCACAGGCTGAGGTGCTCCCACTTCCGAGCATCTTTTTTCACCACTCTGTCTCATGCACGTGGCCAATTGGGTATGGGTCAAAATTAATCCACCAGGCGACCGTAGGTTTTAGTCGTTGTTTCCATTTACCAGGGCAACCCATGCTGGGCACCTGATAATTGACCCACAGCCGCTGATCGCCCTGGAAATCCAGGAAACGAGTTCGGCTTCCTCTGCGTGAAAGAGAGCAAGAAGGGAAATAGGCGCGGATGCAAGAACGGAGACTGCTTGTCTGAGTGTCCATTGGGCCGGTTTCAATCAGGCTCGTGTACCGCATCTCTTTTGCTGGCAATGAGACGACTTGTTGCACTTTTGGGTTTCCGTCATCTAGGTGTTCCGGTAGTGCCCTTTTACCATTCCTTTTTGGGGGAGGGTTCCCCTACTAAAATAGACTACAGAAAAAAGGGTACCCTTATGCTAACCTCTCTACTGGAGGACCTAGTCATTCATCCTCTCAATTTGCCTGGGATCAATTTGTCTGGCCGACACTTTTTTGGGGCCCCTCGAAATGCCGTGGGGTTTTGGGTGCGTTCCGAGAACCCGTTTGGTGGGTTGGATTGATTGCTTTGGGACTTGAATCATTTCTTGCACGGAAACCGCCCGTCTCCAAACCAGGCTCCAAACCTCCAAGAGGGAAGCTGATGTGGGCGTGTGTCAAAATAAGGGGACCCCTAAAGTGTGTGCCCTTTAGATTTCAATGACAACTTCTGGAAGCCAACAGTTCAAACCCCGAAATTGTGGTGTTCATTTGGATTTCATGTGGGTATGGGTCAAAACCAAACCACCAAGGGACCGCTGGTTTTAGCCTTTGTTTCCATGTTCCAGGGTTCCATTTTGGGCTTTTTCATGGAAGTCACCAATCCAAACCACCAACGAGAGCAAAGCTGATATCTGGAGTGGCCAGGTGCTATACGCCTTTGAGCTGGGGTCAAGCTCGGTGCCTGCCCACCCACTCGCGATGCCAGTTGGAGGACTGAACATTCACGGAACATGTTTCTTCTTTTATTGGAGTGATATTTTTGCTCGGATTGTTTTAGGGGGAAGCGCAACGAATCCATTTTGGGAGGTGAATTGAACTGTGAACCCGACATGGTGGACATCATTCAGAAGGGGATTTACGTGTGTGGATTTTTTGAAACGGTTCGAACACTTATATCAATGTTATGTGTTGCTCTTGGTTGTAATGTAAAATACAAAATAGTCTGTTAAGGTAGTAATTTACTCTAATGTAGTGTGGATTTGTTTGTGCATGTACGGTTTTGCATAGTTAGGGTTCATTCAAGATGCTTCTTAGGAGACCACCACTTCGGAGTCTCCGGAGGTTGCGGAGGGCAACAAGGGCAAGGGCAAAGGCAAAGGCAAGTGGCTTTGGCTGCATGCGAGACACGGACCTCCGCATTGACGCGGAATGAGACTCGAGTCTATAGCTAGAGGCATGAAAAGCACCTTGGGGTTTGCTTTCTAGTTGTGTTTGATGCCTTAAGCCACTAGGAGTGAATGGACAAACATTTGCAGGGGTTACCTTGTTGTTTTCAGGGGTAGGCACCGGCTACAATCGCTACAACCGCTACAACCGCCATCCCACACCCATGACTGTTGAGTTGGCACGGGGCCATGGGCAATTTGTCGATGTGCCTTTCAACTGCCATGCTCCCGACCAAGTTCGAGAGGCACGGAGACCCTGTTTCGTAAAATTCAGTAAGCAAAAGGCAGCTTGGAGCAGTGAACCCCTTCGGGATGAGCCTTAATTCACTCATTGCAAAACGGGGAAATTCAGAAGAGTAGGTCCAGTCGAAGATACGACCTCCAGTCGATTCCTCCCAGACATCGCATTTCTAAAGTTCCCAGGAAGACGGGCAGACTCTTGGCGCCAGGACATATGTTATTTTGCTCAGCAAGGGGGCGTTGTTGAATGTGCATGTGTATATATATATATATACACATGTTGAATGTGAATACATATATATATATATATTTATTATTTAAATATTGCATAATGTATCCATGTGTGCGTGCATGCCTGCGTAAGTATGTGTGTGTGTATTTATTGATTTCCTTTCATATTGCTGTCTGTATTTTGTTTGTTGTGTAGTTATTCATATACTTGTTTTTTAATTATTGTGTCTTCATTTCTTTCTTTCTTTCTTTCTTTCTTTCTTTCTTTCTTTATTTGTTTCATTCTGTCTTTTGTTATTTCTTTCTTTTTTTCTTCATTTCTTGGTTCCTTCCTTATTTCTTTCTTTATTTCTTTCCTTATTTCTTTCTTTCTTTCTTTCTTTCTTTCTTTCTTTTTTGTTTTTTTCTTTATCTTGTTTTTTTCTTTGTTTCTTTATTTATTCATTTCTGTTGTCTTGTTATTTGGGTACTTCTGTTTTTGTTCTGTTGTTGTTGGTTGTTTTTCTTTTTTCATGTTTCTGTTTTTTTGTGTATATCTTGTTTGTTTGTTTCTTTGTTTCTTCGATTGTTTATTTTTGTGTGCTTGTGTGTGTGTGGTTGCATGCTGGGGGTTTTGAGTGTGCCCTTTTTGAGGTCGGTTCAAAGGAATACCAAAAGGAAGGCCGAAGCCATATTTTTTGGGGGGTCGCCTACTGTGGATGGACGAAATCCTGCACCACTTTGAGACCATGGTTGAAACCATTGTTGGTTGGTTTTATTTACAGGGGAATCGCAGTTCCAGGGTTTCTGAACGGTGGTGCAAGAAGCGGATTTCGCAACCATCCAGTATGGATCATAGGCATTTGCCAGATCGTATCAAATGAATCTGAGAACTGGACCGGCGCCTGAGACTTCAAACCAAAAACGGCGGTTTTCGAATTCCCTTTAGGTCCATTGAAAAGACCCCCCAAAGGGTACGCTCAAACAAACCGGACATTCCAAAATGTGTGTGTGTGTGTCAAAAATAGGGGTGTCTCTCTCTACAATGATGATTTTATTGACTTCTTACCGTGCAGAGGTCGGGCCGAAGCCTTCGGGGTGCGGCCTAAGCGCCTAAGCGGTGACAGGCCGGGGCAAAGGAGCTGGGGCAAATGGGTTGGTTTTAGCGCCCTGACAGAATCTGAAGAAAATGTAATGTGGGTGTCATTTTTTAGGGGACCCTCCAAACAGCGGTATTCCGGGTACCCCCAAAAAATTGCAGACCCTTTTTTTAAAAAAACAAAACTGCTAACCAACGATGTGGTCATATGACACGACTGTGGAACGATCCATTGATCACCTGCTTTTCACTGCAGGAGCGCTAGGTTGCCTTGTGCAAAAAAGAAGCAAAACATAAGCAGAAGCAGAGAGAGACAGAGCCAGCCTCCAACCATTTGGTAGTTGTTTTCAGTACCTGTGGCATAGGTTTACCACGCAGGCGGCAAGCCGTTACCAACTTGCCACTTTAGCTGAAGATAAAGCTCAATGTATGGAAGTCTGGCGAGAGCGTTTTGCAGGAGTGATGGGGACAGAGACGTCATCATCTTGGGAGTAAAGGGTGTTTGAGAGGTGTCACCGGAGCACAAATGAATGTGAGCTCCAGAAATTATGGCCATAGTTGTTCTTAGAGGATTGGGGATCGAGCACTTCGCTTGGGTTTGCAGGTTCCTGTATGAAACTCTGACAAGGATCAGAGGCTTACTCTTGGAAGGGAGAAGCTTCATTGGTCTGTGCTGTTCGTTCACAGCTATCATGATCACTGCTTCTTGAGCTGATTAAAGGAACACACAAAAGCGTATTGGTTTTGGGTGGGCTCCTGTCAGTTCTGCAGGTTCATGAGTTATCGGTTTTGGATTGTCCCATATCAGTTCTGGAACTGTCAGCTGCTCGCAAGTTTGATTCCCTCTCTCTTCTTGTCGCCAAGACACATTCTCAATGAGCCAAGCTTGCAACTTTTCTTGCGTCCCGGCCGGCCAGGTGACGTTCAAGTAAGACGTTTAGTGTGAATTCATTCGCGTTTCGCTTTGGGAGCTTTTCCCCATGCGCCTGAAAGTCAGCGACAGATGCGTGGTAGGCTACTCCCTTGCACAGCATTTCTGGCTAGTCGTTCGTGCCTTCCACCGGTGCTGGCATTGCGCGACAGGGACGCGAATGGGGTCTCAACATGCAAACTTAATCTATACCTCGAGTCTCCATGACCCTTTAAAATGGGTCAATGGTCAATGACCCCACTACTTGGGAAATGACCAACCATTTTTCAAGGGTCATGGAGACTCCAGGTAGATGTCTTGGTCTCTGAATCTGGCCATGGCGAATTCAACATCCACTTGGAGGCCGTCATTCGCGCTCCTGGGCCTTTTTCTTTTAGCGCCGCTTGATCACAGCGCCAGCATGGCGCTGGGGTGCAGGATGTCGGTGCATGTCTCTTTGGCCTAACGTGAGGCCCTGAGTGGAGAGCAACGGATCTCCGCTCAACTTGTCGGGCATACCTCAGTTTGAACTCCTTGAGGCATGTCTATCATTTTTTAGCCGCAGGTGGCCGGCCTCTAAGACTCTAAGGCTAGGCAACCGTTTTATGGCGGCAAGAACACGGCCCAGTTTTTCTCAGGGACAGGACTGACTTGAAGCGAGGGCGCAGGGCAAGCTGCAAGTGGCCGCATGGACCTGTGAATACTGTGGGCGCACCACCTAAGAAGTCCTAGACTGATTCGATTCCCCAACGTAAATACCAACAAACAAATGGTTTCAACCATGGCTTCAAAGTGGTGCGAAGGGATTTCGTCAATCGCATCAAAACCATGTTCAGCACACAGCCGTTTCCTCGAGCATGGCCAAGCTGAAGGAGCCAATGTGCTCAACTGCCGCCAGACTCGTTTTCAAGAAGAGTCCGCAATTATCGCCTCCCTGCTATTGCTTTTCTGGGCCTAGCAATCTTTCCAAAGCGCCAGTGATTTGGTCTGAAGCTGGGGCGACAAAGAGCACTGCACAGCGATCGCTTGAGGCCAGAGTTGTTGAAGGCCGATGGTAGGGGGTTGCCTGTCAGGGAAAGCAACTCCTTGCGGTCCAAATCTTGTACTTGTTGAGCAGAACAAGGGCTCGCACATGAGTTAAAGATTGGGCCCATGTGCAGCAACCGGTTCACTGTTGAGGCATGAAGTGTTTTTGGCGGAGGACAGCCTTTAAGCGGATGAAAACCGATGCCCGGATTCTTCAGAGTTTAGCATGTGCGCCCCACAGGGGTACTCGTATCGTGAACAGAAAATTTCCCATCACTTTGTGCAAATGGGCATCGCCCTCATCACAAGGGGCGTTTTCCACATGAGTCATCCATGCCCTTTTGGCAGGTCATCGACTGCAGGCTCTCCCATGGCTTCCAAGTTGTTGCGCTGACCTTCTTTCATAGCGCTAATTACCTCTGAATTGGTTTGGCGATTTGAACCCCTGGTCCTTGTAGAAGGCAAATGGATAACCACTGCCCGACCTCCAAATCGCCAATCCAATTGGCGAAATGCTGATAAACTCAGGGATCCCGACAGATGGCTGGCGCTTGTCTACCTCACTTTATGGCGAATTGGTTGGATCTCCGGCTTTCACTTTTTGGTTGAAACAGTCGGGATTTTCCATTCGACCCGCAAAAAGCGAATCACATTTGGCAGAGGGGTCAAAAGCAACCAAATTTGCAGACCATTCAAGGCGACTTTGTTTTAGTGTTCTTCAAGGCTTACAGACAGTTCCCTGACAACTGGCCCTTGCACCGTTGAGATGGATATCAGCTTTTCATTCGCATCGTGTGAATGAAGGTGTATGGTCCACTGGAAATGGTGTGGCAGAGACATGGGCTCGTTGGAGGGTGCTCAAGGAGTCGAGCAAGGGGGCCTTGCACAATTCGCGCTTTCAAATTGGACATGTGGCGATCAACTGGATGGCGTTCGCCCCCCCAAAATCCAGCCGGCGGGATGGAACCCAAGACAACTGTACGCCCGCAGGATGCCTTTTGCAGGCAAGAGCCTCGCTGGGTGGGTCACATGGTTCAGACTTTGAAGAAGCTGTCCTTTGACAGCCTCAACAATTATCCTTACACAACTATTTTAAAGCAATGGGTGGATCTCACAATTCGGGGCCAAACATGGGTGGATTCCTTCTGGTTCCCCACACAAACCATCACTAAACAGGTACCTTCGAAAAAAACAGTAGGCCACTTGGCTACCTCAAGGCCTCACTGGCTTGACGACTGAGCCCCTTCTTTGCCACTAAATCCTGTGTGCAGCCTCTTGAAGCCTATTGGCCAAGAGACAGACTGGCTAGATATAAGTAGATATGATTGTTTTTTTAGGGAAGAATATGTTAATGGCCAATCCACTCAGGAAGTGTCTCTCAAGGTTTCAGCCAGGTCTGACAGTGCCGGCTCAGACGTTTTCTCCTCGACTTCTGCGCGCTTTTGGGGTACCGGGCGCCGAGCCGCAGGTGTCAGCCCCAGCCCCAACCTGAACTTCAGGCGCGGCTGGCTTTGCAAAGCCGTGGACTGGTGAGCTCTCAGAACAGGGGTAATTACTGCGCAATCCTGCCAAGAAAGACAAATGCACAGTTACGCACATAATATATCTATATGCATACATACACATACGCGCCCGTATACATGAGAAACAAGGTGTTTCGGCAGGCGGCTTTTCGGGTTCCTTTTTCTTTTATGGACAATTCCAGCCATAGCGCAAAGACCCGGAGACCTAACATTTGGACATATCAATTTCAAGTTCAGATGGCTGAAGCGCGAAGTCCACTGACTCTTTCGGGTCCGTAAAGACCAAGGAGGTGGATCCATCGACGAGCATGTTGCGCGTATGACAGTGTCTCCCAGTGGATCCATGTACCTGTGTGCGTTTCACTGATGTATAGGTTCTCTAAAGCAGCTGCAAAAAAAAAGCATCTATCTTTCTCAAAAGGCCACCTCGCGGATGGATCCATTCACCGGGTTTTGTAAGGAACCAAAGGAACTTGCCACCTGAGATAGAAGCCAAAAGGACAATAGCGCAGGGTCACCTACTTTCAGGAATACTTCATTAGTTGATATTAGTAGGAGGGTATCAAACTCTGCAGGCGACCTCAAGCACCCAGCTGGCTTGCGTTTGCCATCATTTGACCCGCAACGCTGGCAACCCTGGAATTCATGCGCCAAAAGGTTGAACCAGGAGATTCCAAGGTTCCCTTTTTTGAACACCCCGTATGCAAACTCAAACCCAGGGGTGCTTGATTTCCCAAAACAAAACCCGGGGCTTAAGTAAAGGAAGCCAGGTCTGCTCAAGTAACCAAGTCGCTTCAAATGCACAGGAAGCTTGGCATTGTGGATGCTGAATCGGCGGGGCACATAATTTTACTCTCCGTGCCATGTTCGCCTCACTTGACTCATTTCTTGGTGGGAAGCCAGCGGGGGTGGGGGGAATTCTTGAAGCGGTTTTCCCTAAGCCGTTGCCGAGCCAATGGCAGCCAATGGGATTTGCTCCAGAGCGCGCTCGATGCGAAAATTGTTTTGTCCACGAGAAATCGGCGAATTGCCCCCAGTCTCGGGTCGCCCCATGGCTTCCCCCAGCGCAGGGAGTTGACCTCGCCTCCCATGGGCCGCCCCGCGCCTGCCTCAGTTCGTTGTGGGCGAAGGGTACGCGTTTGGAGGTTGGTTTCACCCATTTTGGGAGGTCTAAATGTCTCAATGTCTATTTGGACCAAAGCATTCTTTTTCGGGGGGGTCCAAATTTCTACTTTGAGACCAAATTAAGGTGTTTTCGTGTGGGTCCTACCAGCCGTTCATGGGAGAAAATGCATTCACGGTTTGCCAACGCTTGCTGCATGGATGGCCACGAGGCTTTCTTCGTTTGGCCAAGAAGGGCTTCCTTGAATGACAACACCCCAAGCTTGATGCGTGTGTGTGGGTGCTGTATACAAGTATATAATATGTATATTATATAAATATATATATATATAGGTGTGTGTGTGTGTTCTGTTGTTTGTGTTTGTTTGCTTGATTGCCTGTTAGTTTGCGTGCTTGCGCGCTTGCTTGCTTGCTTGCCTGGTTGTTTGT